TATCTGGCCCTTACAGGTACTGGTTTGAGAGTTAACTGGTCCTTACAGGTACTGGTGTGAGGGTTATCTGGTCCTTAGAGGTGCTGGTTTGAGTTATCTGGTCTTTACAGGTGCTGGTTTGAGGATTATCTGGTCCTTACAGGTACTGGTTTGAGAGTTAACTGGTCCTTACAGGTGCTGGTTTGAGAGTTATCTGGTCCTTACAGGTGCTGGTGTGAGGGTTATCTGGTCCTTACAGGTACTGGTTTGAGAGTTATCTGGTCTTTACAGGTGCTGGTGTGAGGGTTATCTGGTCCTTACAGGTACTGGTTTGAGAGTTATCTGGTCCTTACAAGTACTGGTTTAAGAGTTATCTGGTCCTTACAAGTACTGGTTTAAGAGTTATCTGGTCCTTACAAGTACTGGTTTAAGAGTTATCTGGTCCTTACAAGTACTGGTTTGACAGTTACCTTGTCGTTACATGTACTCGTTTGACAGTTACCTTGTCGTTACATGTACTCGTTTGACAGTTACCTTGTCGTTACATGTACTCGTTTGACATTACCTTGTCGTTACATGTACTCGTTTGACATTACCTTGTCGTTACATGTACTCGTTTGACAGTGACCTTGTCGTTACAGGTACTCATTTGACAGTTACCTTGTCGTTACAGGTACTCATTTGACAGTTACCTTGTCCTTACTGATACTCATTTGACAGTTACCTTGTACTTACTGATACTGATTTGACAGTTACCTTGTACTTACTGATACTGATTTGACAGTTACCTTGTCCTTACTGATACTGGTTTTAACAATTGCCTACTAATAAAACTTATTTGACTATTAAACGATACCTATAATTTCACTGTAGACAGAAAGGTTTTCCTTTTTTTCTCTATGAAGCTCATGTTTGATCATTATGGATCGATTGTCATATGATGAAGCGCAGAGTTGGCTAAATGTCAATTCCTGGCTTGTCTTTATTATTAAGTAAACTTGGGATACTTTGAATCCTGACAATACCAAATTAAGAAAATAAAAAGACAAACAGACAAGTCTGATTTTGAAACTTTTCTAAAATCTATTCAAACAATGATATTATTATATTTTAATCAGCTACATTCATAACTCCATCATATGAACATATGCAATGTGTAAATTTACAGTTCTTCCCTTGTAATATTCATCATATGAACATATGCAATGTGTAAATTTACAGTTCTTCCATTGTAATATTCATCATATGAATCTTTAACAAAGACAATAGTACAAATTTTATTGTTTTCCAGAATTTGTAATGAATACTAAAGGTATTTAGATATTTTGGCAGTAAGGTTAAGAAAAAAGAAACCTACAGATAATAATAATAATAAAAAGAAAACTATTTTATTCAGTGTTTCACCATTGCAGCTTCATCAGGGCTCGTAGTTCAAAAACATGTACTGTACTACTACTGGCTGTAATAAAGTCACAATAGCAAAACATTGGCTGAAATAGTTTTCTTTTTGTATTATCTGGAGGTGTAATTTTTTTCCCAATTTTATTGCCAAAATTATAAATTTTGTGTGGTAACAATAGCACGAAATATCACAACTCTTACGAAGCAGTTGAAATTTGTTGAATAACCATTTATATATTTCAAATATCCCACACAAAATTACACATTATATGTGATCTTTGGCTTTGTGATTCTTTCCTTCAAATACAATTTACATATAAACAAGTTTTTATAAAACAGTATCCACCCTCTCTCTTTTCTAATCAATGTTACAAGCTTACATGAACATGAAATCAAACATAGCGAAAAACGTTAAACTGTTTCACAACTCCCATATTGAAAAACCAAAACAACTTTAAAAATTAGTTTGGCATCTAAAAAAATTCCTATTTACCTGTTGTTTGCTGGGTGTCTCTGATGGAGTTATGCCTACCCCGGGGACTGCAAAAAAAAAAACAACGACGACGAATTAATGATAAAACTTTATACCCCAATAATATACATACAACCCATACTAATCTCTTCACGTGAAGATAAAAATCACTGCCTTAAAAATCTTGATTGATACACATATCGATCAAAAACAATTTCTTAGTGAGATGATTAATAGTTATTACAAAAAGAAAAGTGCGGTTCACAATACGGTAGGAATTATTAATACTATTGGTGTTACGATAAATGTAGCTTGAGGAAATCCAATATTATTATTGTATATATATTCATTGATGAAATCCATGGATAGGTTACGTATCATTAATATGTGCAGTTATACCTACCCCCCACCCCAGATTGCAGTTCAGTTTTCTGCATATTTAATCCTTTCAGTACTGTGGGGTTATATGTGTCCCAACATATGTTTGTGCAGGACTGGTGAGACTTGTATATATATATATATATATATATATATAACTTCCAATATTATTTCCTCAGAATGTATGTATCACGTCTCTATAAATAAAATACCTCCTGTAACTCTACAACACCTGTTGGAACACATCCCAGATGTTGGTTCCAGAAACTATGCCTGGGAGAAATGCAGAAAACACTCCTTATGTATCCTAGATCATTTATACCAGTTTACATGGTTTCTATGTTAGGAATACAAAACTTGAAATAAAAGGGTTAAAGATGATTAATTAACATTCAAAACACGTTTCTCCTACATGTAGCATAGTGTAATTTTTCAAGCCATGAAACTGACCACAAAAAAACTATGGCAAATTTACAGAGTATTAAGTACACTTCATTGATTTAATTTGGCTCATTTCTACATGATTAAGCATTGGCCAGCTCATATTTCATAGCTCGTAAGTACCGAACGTAAATGGCTATAAAATAATTCCCCAATTTTACTACACATCACTGGAGTTGGGTGATTAGTAGAATCTGCTAATCGATTAATCTCTCGGTTCATTAATTTATTACATTCAACGAATAGGCTATTCTCACAAGACTCGGATAGTTGAAATAATCAAAAATAGTAACAATCAGAAACACCATTTTGGTTATTTCATTATTATTCTCGTGAGTTGTGACACTTACTGATTAAGCTGATCAAACTTGACTTAACCAAAAATAATAATAAATCATAATAGCAATTACTTGGATAATTGGAATAACCAAGAACATCAATAAATAGTTGATTATTTTACATAACACTAATCAATGGTCACAGATAACCGAGTTAGTCGCCCACCACCTCTACACAGCATAATTCCCGATTATTTTTGGAAAGATTTCTATAAACACTAATATTTTACCTACAAGATTTAGTTATTAGCAAGATATCAATCGGTATAAACGTGTAGCAAAGAAAACCTTATAGTTTATTGGTTACACATACTCACTTGAGGAAAATAACGATGATAACTTCACATTTTGGTTACAATTTAACCTTTTTTTTTTTGTACACAAATCATTTGTGCAGAATCACGATAATTTATAACAAGTTGACAAGAAACTGATATTCTAAGCCACCGTATTATCTAGACCAGTGGTCGGCAACCTACGACCCGCAATAATTTGGCTTACCCGCCAAAAGTTGGCTTCACCATTGCAACTCGTAAGGGCACAATCATTGTTCAGTTCAAGTTTCTTGGCTATGTGAAAAGAACAACGATATTAAAGGAAAGAGTCACGGCTACGGAGAATTTTAAGATCAATTTCAGGGAAAAATATCAAACTGGTCGAACTATTAATTTTTTTTTATGTAAATAAACATACACGTTTAAAATACATGTACCAGTATTAATAATTACATAATTATCACTGACCCAACACAATGCTAAATTTTTCAAAAAAAAAAAAAAAAATTGACCAGCGACCAAAAAAGGTTGCCGACCACTGGTCTAGACCATGGATGTATCAGATCAGTATACGCTTATTTTATCACGGATAAGGGATTAATAACTGTAAAGTTTAGATTCATCACCTTGGTTTTCATTTTGACACTTAAAAAAAAATAATAATCTCTTAACTATTTATAGTCACGATAACAAAAATCTTTAAAATAAAGACAAATGTATTAAATACTAACCTTTAGTCTTCTGAGCTCTAGCAATATTCCTAAGTCTCTGGAACTCATTTTTAGCTATTCTTTCCTTCTTTTCTTCCTTTTTTTTCCCAAAGTAATCTATGTTAGGGTCTTAAAAAAGAAACAAAAACTAGTAGAAAAAAAATCAAGTTTTAGAAACTAACAAATCTGCAACTTGTTACTTGAATACGTTACTCAATCACATCATATCTAAGCATGATCTGATCTTCATTTTTATTATCTCATCAAATAAACTTTTTTTTCTTCAGAAATACACCATATCTTACTTTCAAGTTACTTGCAGTAAAAAACTAATACCGTTATTTACAACTTGAAACATTCTATCTTACCCGAGTTTTCTGGAACTTCAATCAACCAGTCGTTCTTGTCGTTGTTAACTCTTTTGAAACCCCATCGAGGTTTCCAGTCCTAAACAATAAATAAAGACACTGACTTAGTAAATTTCAATTGATAGTTACTCATCAAATCTTACATCTTAATTAAATGGACTCCCACCAATATCTGCTTCTACCAGCCTTTTAAATAAAGGCTAAATTTGATAAGTTACAAGTTGAAACTGACTGAAATACAAGCTATTTTAAGCAAAATCTCTCTTGTGAAAGTGCTACACTGTAACTGATTAACCCTATGTCAATCCATCAGTCAACTTACCCGACCTTGTAACAATCATGTAACTATATATAACCCTGAATGTACTAAATGTACCTTCATACAATTTAGCAATCTCTTAGTAAACATTACAAGTGTAGTACATAAAAATAATCAGGATCTTTAATAAAGTATTTTTACTTAAGATTTGTCCGTGAACCTAAGAAGATTTATTGAGTCAAAACAATTAAGTAAGTTTTAAAGGCCAAACTTTTGACAAACAGCTTTTAAAGGTTTGGTGAGAGACTTGATTAAGAATGATGTAGTTAATTGCGAAGATCGTGAAACACTATCTTCAAGTTATGCCTTTCCAAAAGTTTACTGGATTAACCCTACCTCGACATGTCTTCCAATAGTCAAAGGGCATGTCATCATGTTTGTAGACTTGCATTCAACATTTTATTGAACTACTATTTTATGAATGTATGCCAGTAAGTTTGGTATCAAAGTGTAGATCATAATTCAAATTTTGGTATTATACATTAGTTAATTTCTTAATTTAAAACACAATATTAAAATAAAATTCCTAAATATCAATTTTTGTGTGTCACATATATGTTGAATGCAGCTTTGGTTCAAATTATGTGTTTGCGATGTCTTATGAATTAGAAACTCAAATTATCCAAAATTTACAAGCTACAATATAAATTAATAACCTCTCTATTTTCTGAGATATTATTATATTTAGTGAATCAACCAAATTTGCCCCACCCATCTCTTCCATTTTTAGAAATACTTGCTTATGTACACTTACTTCGCTCAATGACATATACATATATATAACAAGTCGAAAGCTCAGGATCCCCCCCCCCCCCAACGTGGTTTTCTCAAGCTCTGCAAAGTGTCTACGCAGGGAAATCTTTCTTTTCATGGTTGAATTGAAATGGTAAGGTAGGAAATTATGGAGCTTGAAAAATCATATTGTTTTAGACCCAAATACAGTTTAGTTACTAAGCCTAATTACTAAGCCTGATAAATTATAGTGGAATTCTGTGGTATTGATATAGTAATTTATAATTTTT